ACTAGATAGGTCTACGTTCTGCCCGAGCATGAATTGTCCTAGGCACTTATAATCCAGGCCTTTTTATTTAATGTGAGATGTGCTGGCGCTCATCAAGGGAACCAAACAAGCAGCTGCCTTCCGCAAGTGTGCTGGTGTCTCTATGATATAGAACAAAGAGTGTGTGTGGTTGTCCTTTACGTTCTGCCCGAGCATGAATTGTCCTAGGCACTTATAATCCAGGCCTTTTTATTTAATGTGAGATTTGCTGGCGCTCATCGAGGGAGCCAAACAAGCAGCTGCCTTGCACAAGTGTGCTGGTGTCTCTGTGCTATAGAACAAAGAGTGTGTGTGGTTGTCCTTGAAGTTTGAGTGAGCTTGAACTGGGAGATACAAAAAAAAGGTTGGTGCTTTCATTTCTCACCTGCGCTCTCCAGAGACCTTTCGTCTCTTGGTTCTTTGCTATAGATACAGATCAGTCAGAACCGGAAGGAGGGGAAGCCAAGGGAACTAAACATAAATCGTAACTCCCACCAGGAGGGGATTAGGGTAAGGGAGGGAGGTTCCCCCTTTGCTAGCCGACTTGGGGGGCAGGTCTGTTGAGGGAATTGTCCTTCCAAAGACCCCTAGATGCATGTGCAGAAAGTTCTGTGGGTCTAACCTCTGCCCGGCCTTGAAATGGGGCATACTAGAGTGGGGCGGCTGGATGTGCACAGCTTCCCTGTTTCTCCTTTAATCAGCCCCAGAATCACGCCCCATACTGACTTTAGCCCCGAGGCTCAGGAATGATCCCTTCCAAAGGGGAGAGGAAGAGCAAAAGGGAAGTGAAATAGGAACCCTTTGGAACCTGCTGACAGTCATCACCTCAATCAGAATAACACCTGCCGCCCTTTCCTGCACAGCCCACTTTGTACGCCATCAGGGCTCTGCTTGCAATGGTGGATTTCCCAGCACTTAGAAATGGTGGCTAGTCCGTTAGAGTGAGAGGGGGTACTGTCTCTCCTCAGGCGCTGGCTACCCCTCGCCACCGCTTTCCTCCCTGCCTCCTTTCACAGCTTCCATCTTTGTTCCTTTCCTACTATAGGGGTGGACATTTGACCTGCCTTCTTCTGTCTGCATGTTTGTGTGTTTGTACGTGTGAAGATTTCCTTTGCTCTGTCGGTCCTTTCAGTTCGGCTCACCTGTGTTGTGCCTTTTGCCCCATCAGCTACCGTATGTGCCAGCCACCCCTGTCTGTAGTGGAGTCCAAGGGGCTCATTAGTCAATCTTGAAGCTTGCTCTCTGGTAGAACAGAGAAGATACTTCTGCTGGATGGCTTAAACCAGAGGTCCCCAACCCCCAGTCTGCATCCTGATGCCGGTCCGTAGCCTGAGCCGGACCAAGCCACAAAGACATACCTCCCGCCCTCCCCACATGCACTCACCCCTGCAAAAGCTGCTTGCGCCTGTCTGCGCTCTTGTGCGCATGCGCAAACAGTGGTGTGGTGCTTGTGCGGGTGCGTGGGCATTCATGCGCATGCGCAAATGGCATCATTGGCATCCATGCATGCACACAAGCACGAGCATGCTTGCACAAGCGCCACACCGCCATTCGCGCATGCTCACAAATGAGCACAAGCACCACGCCACCATTCACGCATGTGCACGAGCGTGTGGGGGTGCCCCACCTTCTCCAGTCAGTCTGCGGACCTAAAAAGGTTGGGAACCGCTGGCTTAAACAACACAGTAACTAATCTTGAAATCTTCTTTTGGAAAACAGTATGAACGACACCTACCTAACTTATTACAGAGGATTTAAACCCAGCAACAACATTTTATTGTCAGTAAAGTAGATCAGAAACCAATGGGTTCTTCTTCACATTTCAGTGACCATGGCAAAAGCTGTGGTGACAGGTGATCCAGCAGGGAAACGGCGCTCATGAAAGAAACAGTCATGGGTGGCGTTATGCCTGGGCAAAACCTGGTGACTGGAAGAGGAGCTTTGTAAGAGAAGGAAAGTGATGAAACATAACTGTTAAGATTTTGCGATATAGCAGAGGTTTGATTGTGCTGCTCGCAGCATAGATGTACGGTCTTGCAAGGCGTGATGTGGCAGTGAAGAAGTCAAGAATTAGAGATGGGGCATTTGAATTTGTATACAAATACGAATAACCCCTCACAGCTGGAGTTAATGAGGGTCCGGCTGCATTGCACTCATGCGTCCACCCCCACTCTTCCTTCCAGTCGCTCCGGAGCTTCTGGTCGGCTAGCCACTCCTGGCAGAAGGAGGGAAGATGAGTCTCCCTGCCTGGCTGACGAGTGGCTAGCCAAACGGGCACTCCAGAGCAATTGGAAGAAAGAGTGGGGCCGGCGGCCACGGATGAGTGAGTGGACGGTCCAGCCCCAAGGGCTGGCCCTCATTCACTCCAGCTGTGCGGGAGTATTCGCGTACAATTACAAATGTCACCATCTCTAAGGTTAGATCCGGAAGCTAACTGAATCCAAATAAGCCCTTGCTCGTCTCATACCTTTGTAAGGAAGTGAAGATATTGCAAACTATTTCTCCTTGCCTGTTGAGAAGGAGGGAGATGCCCTGGTGCTCTCCAACATGCATGCATTGG